GACTGAATCTGTTTGCAACGAACGTGTCCACAGCTGTTTGATTATGCTAATCTCTCTGATCATAAACCGTCTTCTACATTAACTTTTAATTAGTTCTCTGCTATTTCTAAATATGACCTTATGAAAATTATAATAGTCCATCCATCTAGATCCTGTAGAAGAATTGATCAGTTTGCTTGCGCTCTGTGCTCCATTGTAAATGCATCACTTTCTTCTGGTAAATTTCCTACTTTGAGTTAAAAGCTGTTGTCACACCTAAATCACTATCAGATTTCATGCGACAAATAACTGTGATATGCCCATATTTGGCTGTAATATGCCATCATCATGCCCATATTATGGTCACATCAATTAAATTTGTCGCATAAAATGTGATAGTAAAGCAATCCATCGATATACAGCAATTATCAATACTTAATATAATACGCCCTGTGTTCGTTTTATTATTGGCAAGGTTACTAAGAAGGTGTTTTTTTTTCACAACTCTCTGGTTATTTCAATTATTATAAACCTTTATAATCCACATCAGTCTCTTCAAATTTAAAATTCTTGATTACCATTAACAAGAAATGTTGACTTTGATTTTTCCAAAATATAAATACAACAGGAAGGAAGATTTCATCTAACGAGTATAAAGAGTACATGAAAAATTAGACCGTCATATACTTCATTTTTTCCCAAAACCTGAACGGTCAGCTCCCCACCATCCCCTTATCCCGTATGGATCTTGTTATAACCATGTTTAAACGTTTGTTTAAAATAATTTATATAGACTATATATTTGTCATGTTTCTCCTCTCCTTAACAATTTTAATGGCGTCTACCTTTTTAAGATAACATTACGAATTCCGACATCGACTTTTTGTGTCTACTGCCCCAATCGGGGGTCGTACACACTATGTCATGGTGTAGCAAGCAATTAAAGATGGCAAAAAAGGGTAAATCCGGTGGAGGAATGATGGGTACTACTGCACTTGGGGCGCTCTATTGAAAATCGAATAGCGTTCGGAACTCCAACAAAATTGCGTTAGAAAGAAAATTTTCATGAAAAATCCAGATAAACTACAATAATACACACATCTGCATATTGAAGAACATAAGATTAAATTCAAAAACTACTGGGAGCCTATTTTTCAGTATCTTGCCCAATGGTTCGTTTCCTGTGTAATAATAGCGAAATTTCGCAAAATACGAAAACGATAACGAATCGTCATTCGTGTCACAAACATTCTTGACATTGTGTTGTACGATCTGAATATGATCCTTGATTACTGTAAAAGGCATGAATTGTCTACGTTGTGACAAAACCGGCTACTGTAAAGGAAGAGATGTCTAAAATTTTGATGACGTAAACGTATTCGGTATCGTTTTCGTAAGCTTGCGAAAAATCCGTATGATCTCCTCTCTCCTGCCTCATCCCATTTGGTGCGCTCGTTGATAGTTGCCCGCTGATTATACTTTTCCTCATGATTTTTTGACTCTTATACACATCTAGATGTGTATAAGAGACAGGGCTTATAGTAATATATTTCTCTTCTGGCTAAATCATACATCATTGTAGCCTTTCCATTAAGTTTTTTTTTTTTACAGTATTCTCAATTTTCTCAGCGCCTTGGGTTTCTATGTGAAAGGCGTTTCATAAATTCCTTTATCACAGTAATAATAATAATTAGGCCTATAAATAATAAAATTAAGCTATAACGGTCTCTGTGTACAGTGGCTGTCAGTGCAGTAGTTAGTGACCACGCCCATTAGAGACTCACCACAACCTGCGTGTTACCGTATATATTATCTGCTCCTTTCACCCTTTACCCTTTAGATAGGCAAAAAATGTGTCTGCCATTTGACGTTATCAGATATTAGAAGCCAAGGTATTTAAGACTATGGATTTTCTCAAGAACTGTTTTGTGAAGAAAGAGGAACACGGTCGCTAGGGAAGGCAATGTTCATAATTTAGCATGTGATTGGGTAAAACATGTCACACCAGTTCGTGGTGACCAAGATTGTAAAAACAACTCCACTCCCTAAGTAAAGCCTAATAAAAGAGACTGATAAAGTATCATTCCAACCTGCAAGTGCCGAGTGTACTAATAATAATTGATCGAAAAAGACGTCTTTATTATATAGATTATTATGATATCATCAGCGCGAGAAGGCTAAAATTATCATAAATAAAATATAAAATTAAGAAAAGGTCGTATTACGTTCAATGGAAGTTTATAGAAAATGTACTCGAAATTATTTTAGCAAAAAATCATCAAAATAAATCTAAGACTAACAAGCCAATGATAAGAACATCTTTACTGTTTTTTGAAAGATTAATACATCAAAGGAGGTCACGTCTTGTTTCATATCATTCAATTGTTTATTGTTTCCTCCCTAGATACAGCTGCCTCTTGTCCAATTCTTGGTTTTCTAGTTGATGATTGTGAAATAGCTACGATTGATGGTATTGACGGTGATGGGTATAAGCAAGAGTTTCGACAGCCATGTAACTGGCACCAAATATGTTATACATGCGTAAGTAGGCCTACATTTTGCATTGCCTTCATGAACTATCTAGATTTTTAATAGGTTTAAGTCAATATAAAATGTAAAAGAGCGAGATAACAGGCGGCTATACTGTTTATATTACGCCAATGTAAGAAAATGACTGACATATTTATGATGGTGATTGCGTTGAAGATAAATGATGCACATTGATGAAGAGGATGATGATGATGATGATGATAAAGAAGATGGTGAAATGATGATTGTGAAAATGATAATGGAGGATGATGATTTTAAAGTAATGATAATGATTATGATGATGATGATTAAATAATAGAGATGATAGCCAGTGGTAATAATAATGGTGACAATAATGATGACGATTATAATGATTGATTGTTTATCTATCTATTATTATCTATCTATACAAAAGGAAATTGTGCTGATGTGGTGATAAGAAAGTGCCAGCACCAACACAGCCATTATACAATGATACAATGTAGTAAAATTATAACATTAACTACCGGTACCTCTTAAAATAATTTATAATCTAATAATTTATTATATATACAGTATTATGCTCTCACATGAAAATAATAATAATAATAATAATAATTGTAATGATGTTGATGATTATAGACTTACGATTTTGAAATATTTGACTTTTGCAGAGATACATTATCATTATCAGAATAATCGAATTTATATTAAAATAATATCCTTCAATATTTCTTCACATTAACCATTTGTGTGATTTTAGGGAGCTGGTTACGGAATTTCTCAAGATATCTGCGACGAAGCTTTTTATTTGGAAATGCTTTCAAGGTGTGATAACTCCCCAACGTGCGTCGACAGAGCTGATTTCTTCTTACTTGCTGTTACGGAAGACAGAATTCCAATAAGGAACTCGCCTAGTGTGTGTCAAAGAAAATGTTTGAAAGATTTCCTGCTTGGGCTTGATGGATAATCAGAAGGTAAAAATAAGTTCTATAAATAATTTGAATTCTTTCTTTGTTTCTTTCTGTTTTTCCTATCAATATTTTCATGACAGAGAAGGCTTTCCAGTGGTAGGTTCATTAATAGTATGGGTCGGGGTTTTTTTTCAACACATATACAATTGCAGTGGATATTTATGAGGCCCTCTGACACACTGGAGTCAGTGGTGTATCTGGGAACTTTGAAATGGCGGAGCTGATGGGGACGCATAGGAAGGGTGGGTGCTCGATGATTAACTGAGGGGGTGCTAGGTCACAAAATAAGATGATATGAGACCATTTTTAACCATTTGAGCGTGTGGTTTGGGTTCGGACATTTTCAATGAGGGTGACGAGGATGGGGAGCTTTTATTTTGTGCTATAATTAAGTGGAATTAATGTGTCTACTATACAATAATCAAAATTAACCAAAAGGTAAGTCTAGGTCTACACTTAATATATTATTTAGTATATCTATCTATAATAATTTATACCTCACTATTTCCAATGAATTTATAGAGCCGAACTAAATGTAAAAACAAAATTGAAGGTAATTCTGGATCCTGTTTTGAGTTATGCAGTTCAACAAACGAATTTGAAAAAAAAACAAACAACTAAGTCTATTCCTTAAACTAAACCTTAAACTAACTATCAAATTACTTTTATATTTATTGGGTAACTTGTTTGAGTAGAAATATAATTGTCTCCTACAAGGCCTACTGTAAAACAAAGATTTATATAAAAGGCTAAGGCCTAGAGAGAAGAGTAGTTTTAGTCGTGAGAAAAAATCCAGCTGTCACAGGAATTGAACTCGGGCCATGTAATTTTGAAGGCAAGCATCTGAATCACCAAGCTATTCAACATCATGTTGTTTTTATTATTATTAGGGAAGTGTTCAGAGCTATATTGTGAAACTTGGCGGAGCTTGCAAAAAGTGTAGGATATCCTTCACCTTAGGGGTATACATTATTTCAAGATGCAAGATACAAGAGAACTTGATGTCATAAATCAAACGTGCGAAATAAGAAATTTGTCTTGCCTGCTGCAAAGACGAGGACAATTTACATAAGAAATTCAGGAGTACACAGATAAACTATCTAAACCAAACATAAACAACACTAATTATTAATAACATTATGAAGAAAACATCTTATGAGCCTATCATTAAATTTAATGCATTTATGTATTCCATACATATTGTTTCTAAGAAATTCACTATTTTGTATATTGTCTTAAATATTCAAGGACATCAGTAGACTATAATGGAAATGCGCCAAATTAAGGGCAATTTGGTAGAATATGTTCACGTAATTCCTTTTCAGGGATTGGATATTTTTCTCAGTAGGGAGGATAATTTGTCTGAGATTGAGAAATTTCAGCAAGGATATATTTTTATTTCACCAGCGGTTGGGATTTTATAAACTAGAGACGGGAGCTATCCCCAGGGTGAACTGTTTTCTCGGGGGATAAAATATTTCCTCCAGGGTTGAGAAATTGCCGTGATGTCGATAACCCGGTTATCACTATTGAGTTTGATATGTTGGATTGTTTAAGTTGTTACCCTACATTTGTCATCAATATCCACTATATTTCTTTAATAATTAAATCGAAGGGCACAATTTATGTTTTTATGTTTTGATTGACCACAGTTGCTCTTCCTATAAATAAAGTGTTAATGTCTTTAATATGCCTAGGTTTTTTTTAATTTATTTTTGTTCTTTATAAGGAGCACTTGAATTATTTTCCTACTTGGAGAAATATAATGATATCTGGATCTGAAACAATTATTACAACATCATCAGCACTTAGCATTTATAATCTATATTCGAAAAGACCTTATTAATTCACCTCACATCAAAGTTGACATAAAATGTTTCTTAAAACGTTTATTAAAGTCTTTACGACTGTTGTGAGCGTTTAAATTGAGGAATTTCACATTTTCTTTCATTGCGCATCATCATAAAATCCCAATTTATAATAATTATGCCAAACAATAAAATACCCCGAACATTTCCCACACTTATTGAATGATGAAGCTGTTGCTGTTTCTGCACATCCACCAAATAGTGAAGAGTTACAAAATGTTGTAAAATCATTCAAAATGATAAAAGTGTGGGAACAGATAACATCATAACATCAAAACATCAAGTCAGTAGTACTGAAGTGCAACAGAAGTGAGCTCCTTTTTGCATAGACTCTAGCTCTTATAACCATGATTTGGACAACACTGACAATTCCCAACTCTTGGCTGAACAGCAAAATAACCTGATGAAGGGAAATACCAATGAAGCAAAAAAGTACAGCCTCAGCAGAATGCTTTCAAAAGTTATTACATGGAGACTCAAATCTGCTTATGAGTCAATTTGGATTCCGGAGTAATACAACAACTGATGCAATTTTTATTACTAGATCTGTTATTGAGAAGCATCAAGGTACAATTATTGCTACGTACATTGATCTTATTTCTGCATACGACCACGTACTAAGACACATAATGTTCAAAGTCTTATTTGCGCAGCACAAAAGCTGCACACATCACCTCACTATTAAGGGCTATGTATGATGGAACAAGAACTTGCATCAGCGGGATGAAGCTAAGCAGAATTTAATAGAATAATATTTGATACCTGCAGAAGATATGGGCTAAATGTATTTCTATAAAAAAAACGAAGACACAAATGTTTGGTAAAAATAAATTAGCAGATGGATGCTTCACTCACCATAGAACTTCAAGTGTTACAGGAAAGTTTTGAAAGAGGTCCTGAAAGATCACGATGTCTATATGAAAACAAGAAAGACAATTTTAGAGGCGCGGTTTGTGTTCGGTCCAGACTCCATGGTACCTAAGCCTGGTTTCCGAATGAAAGTGGATTAAGATGTTGGAAACGTGTTGGTACAAACGGTTGAGACAGATGGTCAAGAGAGGGTTTGACAGAGTAAGAAATGTAGTGCAACCATCTGAAGAAGAATGCTTCAACCGTATATTTTAATCCAAGGATGAGAGAAATTGTTGGAACATCACCATTGACAGACTTTATATACAGCCAGTACATTATATATAGCGGTCATGATTGCAGAGGGCCTAATACAAAAAAGATGTTATTTGGTGTTCCAACTAGGCGGTAATACCGTGACCATTGGTTTAAGATATTTCGTATTGTAAGCATAGAAGTCAGAAACGAAAGCCATTACACAATCAAAAGAAAAACTTAACGAACACCTAAGCATGCTGTTTAATGCTGAACAGGTTTTTGGCTCCAGCTCTATGACGTAGAAGAACGAGGCGCATCACATAACTGCCCCCTCAAAAACTAATTAATTTTACCGATGAAAACGAAACATTATTTTGTTTTTGTGGAAGAAAAGTCGGTATCTAAAAATATAGTACTTAATACACTAAAATATTAAAATATTTTCATTTATTCAATTTCAGATTTTCTAGACCTGGGAGAGAAGTTTGCATGCAAGACAAAACTGGACGTAGCAACACCAAGTTTGAAAACCTTGTGCCTGGGAGGAAGTTTTTTTCATAATGATTAAGAATATTTTGATCTTTTTTATATTTTGTTGATTATGCGAACATTGCAGACATTGGCGTTTTTAAATCAAATGGTAGGCATATCTGGCAGTGGATTTGAGTGGGAAGGCAGCTTATTACCTTCATCAACCATGGGGATTTTTTAAATAAATAATTCCCATGAAAAAAACACTATAAAAACACTAAATAAACACTAAACACACTAAACTAAAGTGTATCCAAGATATTAAATCAACTAATTTTTAGAAATTTTAGAATACAGGGCATTGAGACAGATTCCCATAATCGATTAATATTTCTATACTACGCCAACATTTTCATGAAATAATTATAAACCTACTTCCGTTTTTATGGGTAGTACACAATAATGGTAGATATATTATATAATGTTTAAATCCACCTATGGTTTCTGTAAACATATTCCTCAATAATGGTGACTCCCCATTATAAATATCCGATATTACTACTTTTATCAACACGATGTGAATTTCGTTTCAATGATCTAAATGAAATTGGACAATAACTCTGATGTACAACAGTTATGCGCAATTCCAGACTCGCAATGATTAAAAAAAGTACACGATTATAAACGTTGGACTGTTCGCTCTTTTTACGACCAGGACGCAGTGGCGTTTCCAGGAGTCTTGAATTGGGTGTGGGGGCTGATGTGGGAGGGGGTGGGCGAAGATGGAGTGGGGGAACACCCTACCCCTAGATACGTCACTGTCTGAACGAGCATTGGGATGCTGTCTGGGATTATAACGGCCATGTGTATAGAACGCAGCATTATTCATCCATCATTCTCTGTTGTTTAGAGTACCGTACGTTACGTCGTGTAAATTGATGTTTTGCTCGTCAGGACCAAGTCATGTGAAACAAAGGTGTAATTTTCGATGCGATGTTCTTTTGTGATTTTTCTTTCTGACAAAAAAAAAATAAATTGTAATCGTCTATTTTAGAGGCACGTATACAAGGCCTATCCAAACCACAATTTGATTATTTCGTATATTATAGTTCATGTGTTGGTGTTTTTAGCACTGCCTGGCTTTCACATTTCATCCCATTGCCAAAGTATGATAATATCTAGAAATATTAATGAATATTATACCGTATTTAAAGGGGAAAATAGGTTTGAGATGGAACCTTAATAGTAAGGGTAAAACAGGCAAAAAGATGTCCTTTGCAGTCAAGTGACTACATAATAAGCACAATTCGGATTCTTTTCCGTATAGTAAGTTCTTGTGTTAGAATAAAATGTGTATTAACTATTTTTTAATTGTATGGCTTGTTTTGTGATATAAGAATTCAATTGGCAGTTAGTTCAAAGATTATGACGTCAGATAAACCATCCGTTGCAATTTGCAATCAATCTCCGATTGATAACAACATCATTGTATTATGACGATTGATTTTAGTGTAGTGAAGGAGATGCCGTTTAGTATTATTATTCATGCGATGGCTATTTTCTGTAAAAGATAAATGGAACTTAAGAGATTCACTCCTTAGAAAAAGTCGTATGTTACAAAAGGATGTTAATAAATAACTATGACGTAATTGATGTGCCAGTCAATCATAGATGTCTATTAAATGGTGGTGGTTGTTGTCATTTGTTTATATGCCAATAGGCAGTGAAGGTGGTTGTAGTGGTGATGGGGATGGAGGTTATGTTGGTACTAAAAAAAATTCCAGTTACCTAATTTTGAACAGACTGATAATTATTAAAAGTTTTTTTATTTTTTTATTTTTTGGAGAGTTGCTGAAACATTGTGGATCATAGATGATTACATTCCTGCTAAAATACAACCATTTTGATGAAGAGACAAATTATCTACAAACAGATCTTAATTAATGTCTCAAGGTTCAAACTATTGTGTAACGTTTTTTAACAATTGTGAACGCGTTTTAAAGAAGATTGACACTTAGCTGCCCATTCGTGTAGGCCTACAGCGAAAATGTACCAGAACCATAGAGGTATAATAAGAATACTAGAGCGCTAACCGCAATGTATTCAATGTTCGAAATAGGCAGAACTGTGTGTGTGTACCATCCAAGATGGCTGCCACAGATTTAGCCAATCAAAATTCGCTCAGCACCATCGTTTGCAATTGCGCCCTCAATTTACTCAGAAAGTTCGGTACAGCCATAGAGATATAATAAGAATAATAGCTCTATGGGCCCATCACTCTGCATTGCTGCGCCATCTTGTTAGCACTCTAGTTGTTTAATAGCTCTATGACCAGAACGGAGATCGGGGGAATTACTCCTCCCCACAGTTAGACAGGCATGGACCCCCTCCCCCTCCGTCGTATAATATAACCCACTGTCGACTTAATATCCCGTAGTCCTACCTACGAACTCGTACGTAAAATTATTATATCGTCTACGAGATAATTAACTCGTACGTAGGCCTACGACTTAATATCTCGTACACGTACGAGATAACTGTCTATATGAAGCACCGACTGCTCATTCATCCAGCAGTTATGCTTTTACACAATCAATTTAACCAATTTCAGACCACCTGAAAATGTTGAAGTGGTCTTGAGATTTGGTTTGTGTTAAAAGTGGAGTTGAATAGCTTGGTGGTTAAGCTTGGGTTTGGTAGTTTGTGTCACTGTGGAGTAGAATAGCTGTCTGGTTAAGAAGCTTGCTTTCCAATCCCAGGGTCCTGGGTTCAATTCCTGCCACGGTAAGGGATCGTTCACAATTCACATTTTCACAAGTGCACCAACAGTTGATTCAAAATATCATGTAATAATTGAAAATAATAGATTGATATTATCAACAGCCATGGATACAATAGACATTTTAAGTAACCAAATACGATGAGCTGTTCCATACAGTTGCGGCTGCAACATAAAATGATCTCTGACCCCACTAATTTCTGACCTTACGCAAGTTTTAGATCAATGATCGTAGGTCTATTCGAGATGGTTCACAAAATATGGAGAATGGTTTTGGAAAATCAACATTTTTTATGTAGCCTACAACTTTCAGGGGGAGGAAGGGATAGGCCCTACCGAAAAAAATAGGCCTACAGTTTGTACACTTGCGAAAATGTTGATAATTGTGAACCACCCCTAACAGCATTCTTTCTCACGACCAAAACAACTTAACTCCCTAAGCCTCATGAGACTTGGTCTATAAAGCATCATGTGTTTATGTTTGTCATGTGAAGGGATTGCCAACTACAGTATTTAATAGGACAGTAATTAAGTCGCTATTGGTACTTTGGTCGTGTGCCTAAAGGAATAAAATTTTAAGAAATAAAATTAAATAAAAGCTTAAGAATGTTATTTGGTACTTTGAAAAATTGGTCTCGAATTAGAGGTGTTTGGAATTCTAGAGGGTTCTGTATTTTTACACAAAATAATCGGAAAAACGGATTCAATTAACAGCGGTGCCAGCCTTTTTCAACAGGGTAGTTTTACACTAGCCAAGGGCCTAGAGAAACCCCGTCGGGATCTCTGGGCCCTCATCTGTCCCCTTGTGAAAACTCTTCAAGTAAAAAAAAAAAAAACAGTAATACCATGGACCTATAACAGTGCACCCTCCAATTCGAGATCCTCTTATTCTGAAATCCTTTGCCAGTGAAGTCACCCGTCTGTCTGTGGTCCTCCATCTGGAACCCGTTTGGAATGGTTGTCGGCAAATCCCTTAAATTAGGAGAAAAAAATAGTATAATACATGAATGTACCTTCCAATTCGAGACTGATCCATTTCCCGGCGCGGATCCAGAGTTTACCCTGACTATCGCACAGAATGATTTCGAGGGTGGGGTTGTTCAGGGAAGGGGACTGGAGATCCTCCTTCGAAATTTTTTTAGTTTTATAGATGCTTGGAAATGCACTTATGATGATAAAGAAGATGATGATGAGAAGGCAGCAGGCAGTGTAGCTAGGTGATGACAGGCTCCAGGATTAGTTACCGGGTCGTTTGATGTGATTGTTAAGTGTCAACCGAGGCTCGTAGCCTGAGTTACGGTTAGTGGTTTGGCAACATTATCGTCATGTTTTCAATGCACACAGACGTCGGACAGCAGAAATTGCCCATTGTCCACAAGTTATGTTATATGATTTATGATATCTGTTTCTTATAGAAAGTGATATTAAACCCACAAAATATCTGTTCAGGAATATTCGTTTACTACTGTTATATTCTGTCAGTTAAAAATGTAAAAATAAATCAAACATAGCAAAAATAAAAAGAATACCAATAAATCAAAAAGTGAAAAAAAGGAAACTTACACTAAAAAAAAATCAAAGTGTGAACAACCTCGTATATCCTGGTACCAGGGGAACTTGCCAAGTAGTTGGGTTTTATTCAGTGGCGGATCCGGGGGGATGAGGGCACGTGTCCCCCCCCCCCACGTCAGTCAAGCCGAAAAATTAAAAAGAGTGAGAAAAATTTGAGTTAAAAGAGGAAAAAGGAAAAGAGGACACTGCACCCATGACTTCAGTGGCGATCCAGCAGTGGGGTGAAAGGAGAGCTCGATTATTTGCCACTTTTTACACCAACCATGATGGGGCTGAGGTGGGCGCGGCGGCGAGAACTTCATTACCCCCACCCCCATCCCGTCTGAAATTCTCTGTATCTATAGACTCTCCTTTCTTCTCATCAACTGGAAGCTCTGACGTTTAGCTTTACCGTTTTTATTTGAATTTAAACAATTTGAGGTACTGATTAACGTTTTTGCAATTCTCTTAAAAGAAAATCGAAGATTACACAATGGAAATGAGCACGAGAACGCTTTCTATTTAGTGCCTCTTGGGTCGCAGTTTGAGTATTGCAGGTTTTTTTGTTTTTTGTTTTTTGTTTTTGTTTTTTTGTTTTTTTTTTATTTTTGTTTCTTTCTGTTTTTGTTTTGTTTTGTTTTTTGTTTTTTTGTGTTTTTTTTTATGTTTGTTTCTTTCTGTTGTTTTTTTTTTTTCTGTTCTATGGATTTGAAATTCTGAAATAAAAGATGAATAAATGAATGAATATTGTATGCGCTGTAAATAAGTAATTATCTTTAATAACTTTTATTTTTTTAAATAATTTTTTTTTATCTCACTCACTCCAATAGTTTTTTCTATAACATTCGTTATAACAGTAAATTGATAATTAAAAAGTAATAGTAAAAGTTAAAATATTAAGTTGTTGCTTTATTGTGATTTTGACATATTGAAATTTGACACGTTGTTAAATCAATCAATTTTTTTTTACCTAACCGTCTTTATATAGGGCCAAGTATTTTTGAGACTATAATTAATGTTGTACGCAATTATTCAAATTAAAAATGTGTGTGCATATTAGTTGGTATTGTTAGATAGTCACACGATATTTTGACATTGTCTACTTTACTGATATGCAACAAGTCCCCAACATTTTCTCACCCCCGGGTCCCATGACTCGTCGTATTAGAGGGTATTAATATAGTCACATCTACTGCAAATATTTGTAGGTCTACAGAAGATTTGTTGTTTTTGTTTTTTTTTTTTTTTAATAATAAAATTCTCATTTGACATTTTACCTTAGCCTAAATTATTTTGTTCTTAATTTTTAAGCGATTTCTGCCTCAAAGTTCTTACAAAATGTGTTCTTGTCAAAAAATAATAAAAAGGGTATAGCATGATGTGGGTATGAAATGAAAGCCTACTGTATACTATTCACATCATGAACGCGTTTAGCAAATGAATGACGCGCTTGAACACTTACCGCGTACCTGGTGATACAGTGATACCATTTTTTGTTTACACACGGTTTGGGCCTCTCTTGTTAATAAGAACAGACACTGAAATGGCACCTATTGATAACATTGGTGTGTGGGGAGAACCGACCTCTACTCTAGACTGGTGTGAACAAAACTACGTTAATTCCATGTACATTGCAGAGTTCTGTGAGTATATTTCGGATGTTGAATTACGAACGATGGCCTTGCTGGCCTAGACTACTGTGTAATCTACCGTAGTGTAGGCCTTGACTCTAACAGTAAAGGGCACTCACACCTGCCGAAAAGACAATTGATGATTACTATGTCAGGAAAAATTTGGTACGGGGCCAAAATCGGTCCGCCGGAATTACCTGCCAAATATAGTCCACATAAGCCAAAATTGGTCCGGCGTCTTTTTTGGTAGTGATAACTTGTACAGTATTTTTATAAGGTTGTTCATATTTTTTTGTAATCAAATGACTAGATAAATATCATATATCTCTCATTATTTATATATAGCCTAATATGTTTTCATTTGTTATTATACGTGTGAAATCTCTGGTGAAAATTAAGTAAAGTTAAACGATGTGGTCTTAAATCATGTTGGTCTGCTGGAGTTAATTTTTTTTACCTTGTTTTGTTTCGGTTGTGTGAGAATTCTGACCCCTTTATTTCATGTATTAGAACATCTATTGTATGATCTAATACCCCAGACAATAATCCGGAATATTTAAAACTAATAAATCAGTCTTTTAGGCCCAAACGTAGGCCTAACCACAGCCACCGAAAATGGGGCACGCTGTTTGTATTGCGGCTAGGAAATGCATTATCTGGTGGGTTTGATAAAACACTTCCTCAAAAGCTTAACGAATCATTCTGTTTACTGAAAAGACTTT